TAGGCAGTAATGACAGTTACTTGCTGCCACACGAGGAGCAGTGTTTCAAGGTCAAAGCTGGAACAGCTACCCACTAAACTGGAGCATTGTCAGTCTTAATATGTATAGTTATCCCCATGATGGCCATAACTTCTAATAAACATGTAATTACATAATCAGCCTTTTCAGAACTCAAAGCAGTTGCCCATTGAAATCCTGAATATATATCAATGGTATGGTATACATATTTAATTCCAAACTCTGGAAAGTGAAACACATCCATTTGACAAATTTAATTTCTTTGAGTACCCTTTGGGCTACTTCCTACAGGTAGTGGAGTTTGGTTATAAAATGAACAAGTAAGACATTTCCTTATAATTTCCTTGGCTTGTTGTCAAGTGATAGAAAAATCTTTTTTCAAACCCTTGCTATCAACTGGTGCTTCTTATGAAATTCTGACACTTCTAGTACATTTCCTACCAATGTTGATCATTTTCACCATTACCTTGGGCTAGAGTGTCTGGTAGATCTGTATAGGATCTGATATGTGTTATATACAAGGGATAATTTCTATTTCTGATTATTTCTTGTAATTGAATAAATAACAAAGTCAATTCTGAATCATCTGGCATAAGTTCAGCAGTTTCAATGTGTAAAATAACTCTTTCTGTATATTGGGAGTCAGTAACTATAGAATAGCATATGATTCTGACTTTTGAGCAGAATCATAAGGGCTTTGACTCAGTTTACTTAAACTTCATGACTTATAATCTACCTTTCCTGACTTGTTTGCAAAAGTATAGGATGTAGGGGCTCCAGAAATTGGTGTTCCCCACACCATGTGAGGAAGGATCCAATGAGTTCTTTTTATAAAAATGAAGTCTTTTGCTTTTGGAATATTTGTTTCTAATCTCTCCCAAAAAATTATTGCAAGCTCTTTGCCATTGTTTATTTTTTGGTTCATAATGAGGAAATTTCAGCATCAGTAAAAGGTATCATAATCTCTGCTGAGTCTATTCCTGTCAATTGACAAAGTCTTAATTTTCCTTTCGGGATCAATTGAGAAACCTTTTTTACATAGGTCTTTAATTTTTTACTCTGTTTATGTGGCAAAAATATCCATTATAAGATATTATCTTCTATCTGCATTAGAATTCCATTAGAAGAATGCATGGAAGGTAAAATAACCAGAATACAATCAAGCTATGGATCCAAAGAATCCATGTGTGCATCCTGTAGTTTCTTTTCTATTAAAGCCAATTCTCTCTCAGCCTCACCTGATAATTTTCTTGGACTATTTAAGTCCTTATCATCTTGTAATATTTGAAATAAATTACATAGTTCTTTAGTTGTCAATCCAATTGTGGACTGTAGCCAGTTACTATCTCCCATCAATTTTTGAAAATCATTAAGAGTTCATAATTGATCTTTCCCAATTTCTACTTTCTATGGTTGAATTTTTTGTAAACCTATTTTATATCCTAGATAATTACTGGAATTTCTTCTTTGTATTTTTTCAGGAGCTATTTGTAATTCCCAACAAAGCAAATTTTTCTTTACCTCTTCAAACATTTTCTCTAAAGTATTTGTATCTGAATCAGCTAGTATGATATCATTCATATAATGGTAAATTGTAAATGGAGGAAACTAATTACAGATTATTACCAATGACTGTTATACAGAATATTGACATAAGATAGGGCTGTTTAACATTCCTTGGGGAAGAATTTTCCACTGATATCTTTTAAAAGACTGGGAATTATTATGAGTAGGCATTGTGAAGGCAAATTTTCTCTATCCTGTTCTTGTAAAGGTATAGTAAAAAGTAGTCTTTTAAATCAATCACTATAATAGACCATCCTTTAGATAATAAAGAAGGCAACAGAATTCCAGGCTATAAAGAGCCCATTGGCTTAATCACCTTATTAAGAGCTCTTAGATCTGTTACTATTCTCCATTTTCCAGATTTCTTCTTAATAACAAATATAGGAGAGCTCCAAGGACTGGTCAATTCTTCAATATGTTGAACATGTAGCTGCTCCCGGAACAACTATTTTAAGGCATGTAATTTTTCTGATGTCAAAGGCCATTGTTCCGCCCAGACAGGTTTGTTAGTCAACCATTTTAAAGGTAGTGCTGTTGATACTTTTGAAAGATCAGCAGCTTTTGTGCCCTGGTTATATACAATCTGAATGGTCAGTGACTGTTTTTTATAACACCTCTTAATATTTTTTCCAGAAACTTACATCAGTTTATGGTTTGTTTGTGAGATTGGAGGAATGTTAATCTGGGTATTCCATTGCTATAACAAATCATGTCCCCATAAATTCATTGCTATGTTAGCCACATATGGCTTTAATTTTCCTCTCTGTCCTTCTCTCCCTATACATTTGACTCATTTTGTGCTTTGTTTTACCTGAAATAAAGTTCCAATCCCTATAAGCTGAACATTTACCTCATGAAGAGGCCAATTTGGATGCCAAGATTTTGGTGCAAGTATTGTTACATCTGCCCCTGTGTCTATCAAACCCTTAACTAAAATGCCATTTATTTGTTTTTTGTTTGTTTGTTTGTTTCAAGACAGGGTTTCTCTGTGTAGTCCTTTCTGTCCTTAACTCCCTTTGTAGACCAGGCAGGCCTTGAACTCACAGAGTTCTGTCTGCCTCTGCCTCGCAAGTGCTGAGATTAAAGGCGTGCTCCTCCACCACCTGGCTTCTGAATCAGCATTTTCAAAAGCCAAAGATTCAATTAGTATTCATCTAACTTCTGGATCTGATATTCTATTTACAGCTGAAGTATATCTTTGTAAATAATCAGTGAAGGCTTCTTTTGGGCCTTGTATAGTTTTAGTAAATGGCTCAGTCCTCTTTCCTGATTCTTCAAACTTGTCCCAAGCATTCAAAGCTGCTGTATGGCATAGTGGCAAGGTGTAATTATCAAATGTAACCCATATTTCCACAGCAGCATAATAGATCTCACCAAACATTTAATCTTGGGAAATCTCATAATCTCTAATCCTACCATGCTGTTTGATGGCTCTAGCTTCATCTCTCCACCGGGTTCTCCACTGTAACTGAGCACCAGCTTCCAATACTGCTGTAATTAAATCTTTCCAGTCTTATGGAATAATTCTGTCCTGAGTGGACCATGAACTTAACATCTGCCTCACAAAAGGTGAATGCATACCATATGAAACTATTGCTTCCTTAAATTTCTTCAAATCTAACATTTCTATAGAATCCCAGTTAAGTTCTGAATAGCCTTGGGGATACCTATCATCCAGTGCTCATTCCTGAAAAGTAGCTGGATAAATTAAGGTTGGTTTTCTAATAACCTTGGGCTGCTCCTCTTCTGTTTCATAATGCAATGGTGTTGTAACTTCTGCTCTAAACTCCTCTGTCTGCATGTGACTATTTCTCTTAGTTCCATTAGTATATCTTTCTAAGTATTTTATCTTACCAGTCAAATTTTCACATTTGGCATTGATATCAAACATCTTTTTTAGGGATAAAACAAGAATTATCAAAATAATAATTATGTTTTAGGGATAAAACAAGAATTACCAAAATGATAATTGACATTCTGTCAATCCCAAACATTTAATTGTTCCATTTTCAAACCATCCATTGTGGAATTATACAGAGACCTAACTGTGCATCATAATGTTTCCCATTTTTAACATGGGGGGGAAAACCTCTCCCCTCTCCTTTTTTTAAAAAAACTAATTCCCCCTTTAAGAATTCCCAGTTATCTCAACCAATCTGCTGCTGATGGCAGTGAAGTGTGAGGCTGGCTGTCACTGTGTAGCACAGTTGGGCAGAGAACATAGACAGTGCACAGCCTGGCCAAGGCAGCTGCAGCTGCTCATATATAGCTGTGAGCTGAGAGTGTGTGGTGGTTGCAACAAGAATAGAAGTCTGAGCAGGTGTTGAGGCAGCTGACTGTAGCTAGAGTTTTTCTGGTTCAGCCTGGCCCAAGGTCAGGACAAATCTCTCTCACCCACCAGTCCCACAACTGCTCAGACCCAACCAAATAAACACACAGAGACTTATATTTCTTATAAACTGTATGGCCATGGCAGGCTTCTTACTAACTGTTCTTATATCTTAAGTTAACCCATTTCTATTAATCTATAAGTTGCCATGTAGCTCTTGGCTTACTGGTGTCTTAACATCTGCTTCTCATGGTGGCAGTTAGCAGCATCTCCTGCCTCAGCCTTCCACTTCCCAGAATTCTCCTCTCTCCTTGTCCCACCTGTACTTCCTGCCTGGCTACTGGCCAACCAGTGTTTTATTTATTAACCAATCAGAGTAACACATTTAACATACAGAACATCCCACAGCAGCTGACCTATGACAGCAGCCTGAGGAGGGGTTTCATGGAAACCCTCCACCCAGGAGAAAAGAAGCCCTGGAGCCAGCTGTCTGAAAAGTGGACATGGGGAATATGTGGAAGAAGCACAAGTGGCAGGCAGGAAGTGAGAACACAGAGCTGAAGGCAGCTCAGGAGCCTGTGGCGTTTGGGGCTGTGGAATTTGGATGGCAGCTGGAGCTGTTGTAGGAAGGCTGCAACAGAAAAATCCCAGAGTTGCTCAGGGGGCTTGGGGCAAGGGAGGAAAATCCAGCTGACTCTGGTGGCTGTGGCTATAGCTGTGGCTACTGGTGGTGGCGGCTGGTGGCAGCTTAGGCAGTGGTATTGGCTGCACAGCCAGGGGTGAGCATCTATCCTGTGCTTTTGTGCCCTGAGCTGGATACTACGTGATGCATTTATCTAATTATTCTTTATCAATAAAAAATCAGGAGTCAGATATCATGGTAAGAACCTGAAAGATCGGAGAAGCAGAGGATCAGACACCAGTGACTTCCTATCTCTTCCATTCTTTCCTCCAAAAAAGAGTCGCGATACTCTCTAAGCCCTGCCTTACTACTTCCTCAGTCCTCCCAAACCTCTATGGTTAATTTTGGTCAGCTAGTAGCTAGCTCTGCCCTCTGATTCAAAACAAACTTTATTTTCAGAATGCAATCAAAATATCACACAACAGAGAATCTATCTTCTACTTCTTTTGAAGTAGGCAGTGGGAAAATGACTGATGGAATTTGGCATGCAATGTTTTAAATATTGAAATGTAAATGTCTTAAAGAGATAAACAACTTGAGAAGAAAGTGTTAATTCTGAAAAAAAAAAAAAAAAAAGAGGCTGTGTGGTCAAAAAGGAAACATAAGTTCCACACCATGAGCATTTTCTACTAACAGGTAAGCTGTATCCCCAAAATAAATACCTTCAACAAGCCCAAAATTCAGAAAAATTCAAGAACACTGAAACCTGATATCTTACAGAAAACAGGGCATAAATCATCTGTTTCCATTACAGTTTATTTTATATGGCTTTATTTAAGCATGATTTAACTGTCAGTAATCTTTGTATAAATCTGAGGGTCTAGAGAGATGGCTCATCAGTTAAGAACATTTGCTGTTCTTCCAGAGGATCAGAATTTGGTTCATAGCATCCACATCAATAGCCTTTAACTCCACCTTCAAGGGATCTGATTGTTTTTCTGGCCTCTGAGGACACTGTATTCACGCACGTGTGTGCGTGCACGCACACACAATCTAAAATTAAGACTGTATTAGGACTATACACAAAATAGCTCCTTGCTATAGACATTTCCTCACACCTTCTGGAATATCTTTAAATTTTTAAGTGTGTGTGTGTTTGCATGCATGTGTGTTCAAACATGTCATAGCATGTATGTGGAGATCACAGGACAACTTACAAAAGTCAGTACTCCCATATGGAACCTAGTGATCAGACTGAGGTTGTCCAGCTTCCCAGCAAGCCCCTTTCATGGCTAAGCCATCTCATTAGCCCAACATCTAACTACTTGTGTTTGCATAAAAAGGGGCCTGGAGAATTGAGTGTGGGTTTGACATTGTTGTTTTGATATCTCACGGGCATAGGAACTAATACTATAGAATTAAGGACACAAGTCAAAGTTTTAAGCAATATATTTGGTGTTTGAAAAAAAATTGTCAATGTGGCACATGCAAATTGTTGATGTACCAACACACTGCTTAAAAAAAAAATCCTATGGAGATCATATTTCAGAATCTCTGAGGACTCTGCTAGGCATATTCTTTATGTGTCTTCAAAGAGTGAGGTCACATGGACATCTGTGATGCTGCATCAGTGTCTTCCACAACCTTGTGGAGCTCAACAGTTTCCCAGTCCTCTTCCAAGTTGCAATGTCATGCTTTGTCAATAATTTAAGTAATGTCATGATTTTCAAAATTAATGTTAATTAAGGCAAACAACTTTTCATCTACCTAGAAAAAAACTTGAAACTTACCCTAGCTCTGTGTGCATAAGACTAGCCATATCTTTCCTCTAAGAAGTGTGTTGTAAGGGCTCAAGTGGTAGCTCAATGGTTAAGAGCAGTGGCTGCTTTTCCAGAGGACCCTGATTCAATTTGAAGCACTCACATGGCAGCTCACAACTATCTGTAACCCCAGCCCTAGGGGATCAGATGCCCTCTTCTGGCCTGTGTGGGAACCTGGCACACAGGTGATGTCCAGACATATGGCAGGCAGAACACCTGCACACATACAATAACGTTTTTAAAGACGTAAGTGTTGTGTATGAGGATACAGCTCACAGTAGAGCATACATTTAACATGTTTGAGCACTTAGGTTCATTCTCTAGTGCTATTACCAGCACAGCCAAAAAGAAAAAAGTCCAATATACAGTTTTTATTTATCAATGTTATCAATTAAAACCAAAAGGAGAGAGAGAGAAAGAAATGTGTTTATGCCTATAAGCAGAGCTGATATGAAGATAACTAGTAGAACCCAGACATGTTTGCTTCTTGTCACAGTCACAAATACCTGAGATAACTTAAAAGTAGGAGTTGGTTTGGTTCTTACTTTCAGAGTTTTCACAGCGTGATCTGTGCGGCAGAGCCTGTCACGATAGGCACACATGGCAGCCGAAGCCCGTTCCCTGAAAAGCCCTGCTGCCTAAAAGAAGCACAGACTGGCTAAGCTACCAGTAGTAAGGACACCCTCCCACATTGCAGACCCTGCTGTGTGCTCCGGGTTCCCAGCTTTGTGAGCTGTCACTCATGCTGGGGTGGGATTCCGTGATGCGGCTGTCTTCGAGTCATTTCTGCTCCTGTAAGTAACCACTCATCCATATTCCTGTAAAAATTTAGTGATAGCCATACTGTGGTCTGCTATCAGTTCCCTATCTGAGATGAGTTGATGTTTGTCCCTCTAGGAATAGTGTCATATAACATAGCCTCCACTTAAGATGGTCTACAGACCTACTAACTCCATTGAGTTCCACTTTAGGAAGGTCTCAGTCTTTCAATAAAAGCTTCCCTCCTATTGGCCACCGCAGTGTTAAGGGAGTGACTCTCAACCCATGGCACGAATCAGGATCCTCTGGAGGACCTCAGAAAACAGATCAAGACTGAGCAGCACCCCTTTTAGGCTTTCTGAAGGGTGGGTTTAGTTGGGGTGTGAGGGTTTGCATTTCTAAGAGGCTCTCGGTTAGTCCTGCTGCTGCCTGAGGGAGCTTAGAGAATCACCCTGGTCAGGCTGAGGTGATGGCTAAGTTGGCAAAGTCCCTGCTGTGCAAGCCTAAGGACCTGAGTTCTGACCCTTGGTGCCACATAAAAAGCCAGCTCAGCAGCCACATCTGTGACCCCAGTTCTGTGGTAGAGAGATAGGAGGATCCCTGGAGCTCATTGGCCAGCCAGTCTGGGCTAGTCAGTGAGCTCTAGATTTAGTGAGAGACCTTGTCTCAAAAATAAAGTGAAAAGCAACTGAGAAAGATAGCTGACATTGACCTCTGGCCTCCACATTGTACCTGCACACACATGCCTACAGGAACACATAACACACCACACATATACATACAGAAGAGAATCATCCTTTTAAACAAACTAATAAGCTTTCATGTATCCTTAGTCAATTCTTTCCATCTTATTGAAATTTCATAAAAAAAAATCTTATGATTTTGATGTTTTTTTTTAACTGAGAAATTGGAAGTACAAGTTATCATAAAGGAATCTAAAAAGAAGACTAGAGGAAGGCCTGTCTATTTCTGTCACTTCTTCAAAAGCCATAATAACAGCATTAATGTGCCTAAGTATTAAAATCATGTTGCACTCAGGACTTCATGTACCTTCCTAAGGGGTCATAGCACAAACCCCCACTCCCATTCAATGTCTTGGTAGAATGAAAATCAACCAACTAAGTCACCCACCCTTCTCCCTAAAGTTTCAGCCCTTCCTGAAGTTTCATACCTACATGAAGAGAAGACACAAAGAAATTAAAGTCCACAAATGAAGTCCAATGATAGTTCACTATGCATCCCAGTTAATGTTCTGTCTATGCCATTCTGCTTCAGAATGCTAAGTATTTGTATGTTTTTACACAGTTGGAAACACCACGTACCACTTAGATGTAGCTGAAATAAAATACAGAACATTCTGTCATACAATTCCTTAACATTATCCAAGCTTCCAAACAGTCGCAAAGCATTTGGGGGTTCAAGCACAACCAAGACATGTTTCCCTACACCTAATGTCAGCTAAACCCAAAACCTTCCTACTCTGCTTCTCTTTTTCTTTTTCTTTCTTTCCTTCCTTTCTCTGTCTTTGTTTATTATTTTTTGTTGTTGTTGGATGTGTGTGTGTGTGTGTGTGTGTGTGTGTGTGTGTGTGTGTGATAGGATCTCAAGTAGCCCAGGATGACCCATGACCTATTGTGTAGCTAAGGCTGCACTTGACTACCTGACCCACCTGTCTCATCTTCTTGAGAGCTGGGGTTATAGGTGTGCACTGCAATAATCTGAAACCCTTTGACAAAATAAGATTACAGATAGGCTCTGGCATGCTCTTACTCTAAATAGACACACACATTTTGTTACCTCTTTCTTCTCACTATTTAAGGGACTTATTTTATCTTTGATTTATCTTATAGTGACAGAAGAGAAAGCCAGTAGTCTAGAGTTCATTCTAACATGGGGTTTGGGGTTGTTATACTGTAAACAATTAACTGTGACAGTCAAGTTAGAAAATAGCCATAAAATGATCTCTTGAATACCTTGAAATCCACAAAACAATCACTAAGAAGCAGTAACAGCTGTTTCTCAGGTTCCTTGAATTTGCTACCCTGAAAATGAAACATATCTGAAACATGAAACATATGTGAAAATGAAAACATGAATCCACAGAGTTGGCACTTATATCCAATACTAAATCCATCAGATTTTTTTAATCTAGAAAAGAGATACTTAAGATTTCTGTGGAAAAAAGGCTGGCAGTGATGGCACATGCATTTAATCCCAGCATTTGGGAGGCAGAGGCAGGTGGATCTCTAAGTACAAGGCCAACCTGGTCTACAGAGTGAGTTCCAGGACAGTGAGGGCTACACAGAGAAACCCTGTCTTAAAAAACAAACAAACAACAAACAAAAAAAGAAAGAAAATAGAAAAAAGAAAAAAATATCCCCTTAGTTTTGAAGAGGAAATGCTAATCATATTGATTAATTATTGATTTGTTTCTGAGGTCAAGATGAGAAACCTCAAGATACATTAGCCAATGCCAACAGCCCAAGTCTTAATCTGGATCCTCCTGATGCAAACAGAACCTTTCCTGGAGTAGGTTTAGTGCCTCTGCATCACCAGCCAGCTAGGTGCACCATCTGGAAATCCTGATTGGCTGTCCTTGCTAAGTCCTAAATGTCAGTCATCACACTAATCATCCATGGAATTTTTCCTAGGATCTCTCTCACTGAGCCCCCGATCCTCAAGGTGGTCCTATCCTCAAGGTGGTCCTCAGCTAGCCACTCTTCCCATCATTGCCTCACACTTCTGGTTCTGGCTAGCAATCCTTCAGTCATCCTTTCCATTCTTCGATCACAAGAAACTGTATGTCTTGCAACTCAGGACAGAAAAGTGCAATCACCCCATGCTAACAACCTTAGCAACTGAATAGGGAAGCTACTTCGCTTACAACTTCTTAACTGTAAGTCTCCAAAGGTAAATGCAGGCATCTCATCTCTTTCCCCAAGCGTGTTTAATCAGTTATACAGACATGACATGAGAAGGAGGCAAGTGCAAAAACCCTTTCTTCCACTGTTTGGTTTTTCTCCTAAAAACTCTTTCTTACATACCCATTTTCTACATTAAAATTTTTCCTCCTTTTCTCAAGTGGTTGGCCGCTCACTAATTTGGAGTTGGAGTTCAGTCAACACCAGGAAGTTATGCTTTCAATTTGCTAACCTATGTAATAACATTTATGCCAAATATTTATGCATCACTTACTCTGCTTTATTTTATACCAGAACTTGTCAAAGCTTTAAGCATCATATCACCCCTATTATACAGCACTGCAATTATCATCTGTTTAGGAACCAGGGAACTATGCCACAAAATAATTTTTCCCAAATCCCATGACTCAATAAGAGCTCATGCCACAATTCAAACTCTGGTACTCCAGCTAGTAAGGGGAAACTGAGGTCCCCTGTTGGGATTCTCAGTCTCATTAAGAAAAGAATTTAAAAGCCGGGTGGTGGTGGTGGTGGTGGCGGCGGCGGCGGCGGCGGCGGCGGCGGCGGC